TATTTTTTGAAATTTCTCAATATTTAAAGGTATTGGGTAATTAGAGTTATGGTAATCAAAATAATTCATAAAAATGAATATGTTTGGTAATGAATGTAGACGAATTAAATAAAAAAATAAAAAAAATTATAGATATGACATCTAAACAAAACTTGTCTATAGTATTTTTTTTTTTAATAATATATAAAAGATGTTTACAAATTTATTTTAGCCTAGTAAATCAAGATTCAATTAATAAATAAACCAGACAAATGATTTTCAAATATTATAGTCCAATTAATAATGTAAATTGTCTTTAAACGTGGTGGCTTCTGATTTTTTAAAAAGAAGGGTCAAAACTACAATATTGACAAGAATAAAAGGACTGAAACGTAAAAGCAACGCAATATTTCTCTCTCTCTTTCGTCTGGTTACTGCAAATCAAAAAGCCAAAGTAAAATAAAAACCACTTGCCACCGTATGAGAAGCTCGTCTCTGACGGTCGATCCTCCGCTTGCCACGCCGCCGCCAAGTCAGCAGTCTCCTCCATGCACATAGATTCTTCTTACCAATCAAACCGATTTTCGAAGATTCGAAAACCAACCAATTCTCCTTCTTCTGGTACTTCTGCCTTTTTCGAAAAATCTCACCGGAGGAATCCGATTTCTTCTCGACGGACAGATCGAATTTTGGAGATTCTCCGGTACGTTTTTTCGAATCTGTGATTGTGTTCGAATTCGATGCAAACTCGCCGATTAGTCTAATCGGTACGTTTACATCTACACTTACTTAGGCTTTTTGGAATTTGACAGCGACGATTGAGGCCGAGATTGTTGCGACTGGATTCGTTTCGGATGCTTTTGATTCTAATGCTTGCTTGAGAAGTGAGAAGACCACCTTTTTTTTTGATGTAAAAACAAGGTAATCTCTTTGCAAAGTGAAGAAGATAGTTGCTTTTTTTTTTCTTGAGTTTGTGTTGATCCCTATTGTGACCAATTTTCTTTTGATGATATTAGTGTTGAATCGAGAATTTAGTCGATATGGTAGGCGCTACTTTGTTTCACCGTAGAAAGCATTCATGGCCGCCTGAGGAATTCATCAGCAGAAGTACTCTTCAATTAGTAAGTCAACTCTTATTGCTAGTTTATTTGGATACCTAAAAAGGATCGTTTCGATTGGAGAATTGGACTTGACTTATACATTTTTTGTTTTTGTTCGATCCGCTCATTTGTAGCTCGATTTCGATAGTGCTGCTCCGCCACCACACGCATGGAGGAGGAGATTAAACTGCCATGCGAATATCTTAAAGGAGTTCACTATAACGTTTAGGGAAGCTATTAAAATGGTAACCAAGACATTCTGATTATCCTTCATTTCGTGGTTGTATGCTCGTATTTTCTTTGATCCTAAACCACATATGTGATTTTCTTGGAGTTTCCTTAAATGTCACGGAGGGTGTTCTTTACTTTCTTTTTTTTTAAATTAAAGGTACGATTGGGGATACGATTATGGTCTTATGTCAGAGAAGAGGCCTCCCATGGAAGGGTAACTCACTGGAACACTAGAATCTCTTGATATGCATACTATAACATTTTGTTGCAAAAAAACCTTTTTTTTGTTCATATATGGTTGGTTATTCGGTGCAAAGTTTTAGTCTTTATTATGGAGATTTACTTTCTGATTGCTACAGAAAGCACCTATTGATCCTTTCAGCAGAGAGAACTGCAAACCATCTGCATCACAAGGTGTTCCACTCGGAGGAATGGGGTACATAACTGATAGCCTCTGATTTTCTGTTTTATTAGCCATACTTCCGTAGCTTAGATTTGACCAATGCTGCTGGTAATTGCAGAAGTGGAAGCATATCTAGGGGTTTCAGGGGTGAGTTTAAACAGTGGCAAATCACTCCTGGGACTTGTGATCCATCACCTATGATGTCTAATCAGTTTTCGGTAAGTTTTATCTATGACCTTAGTGGACGTGAAATTGCTTTTTCAATCCCTGACTCGTTACTTCCATTGTTACCTTGTTTTACTTCCTTATACGTTCACTGTTTTACTCTTTCTGGTTCTTGCAACAGAAAATAACCTCCCCCATTTGTACAGTCATGAGGACTGATGATTCTTTTGGATCTTTAAAAGCGTTATTTTATTTTCATAGTGCATAAACATCATTTTCCTGCTAGATTCCTCCCTTTTAGTTTTTTTTACTTCATTTGCAAATCTTACTATTGCAAATTCCCTCATGGTTGTATGGTAACTCCACTAAGTTGATATTATCACAAAGTCTTTCTTGTAACATTTCTTTGGCCCATTCTTTGCAGATTTTTATTTCCCGAGATGGTGGGCACAAAAAGTATGCATCAGTTTTGGCTCCAGGCCAGCATGGAAGTTTAGGGTAAGTATCTGTTTTATAAGTTTACTCTATTTCAACGATGTAATTTTTTTCTTAATTCATATACCTTGGTCTCAGAAAATCGCGTGATAAGGGTATTTCTTCATGGGGTTGGAATCTAAATGGCCAGCATTCAACTTACCATGCTCTATTTCCTCGGGCCTGGACTATATATGATGGTACCAACGTTCGTGACTTCTTCTTTGAAGGCTAGCATATTTCTCTCGTTTTGTTGCTGGTAATGATGCTTCTGTTTGTAGGTGAGCCTGACCCAGAGTTGAAGATTTCATGCCGGCAAATATCACCCTTTATACCAAACAATTACCGAGATAGTAGTCTTCCTGCAGCTGTTTTCGTGTATACAGTAAGTAATCCTTTCATCTAATTCATTTTCATATGGATTTGCTGCCTGCGTCTCTAAATAGGATATCTCTCAGTTCTGATTTCTGAAAGCATGTGAAAAAGAATATATATATTAGCAAGCAGCCTTCAGAATATATAGACCGCGCACATTCCACATGTATGGGTCTGTAGTGATGCTTATTATTTAGATTAGTAAGTTATCGAAGCGCCAATATAGAGGAACTTGCCATGGGCTTGTCATTGTAGACCAGGCCACAAATTTGTGGGATGGCTTATTTACTGGCATATTCTATCCATCGTAGGAAGATTATTTTAATACTCTAATTAACGCGGAGCAAATTTTAATGAACTTCTACGTATCCTTATATTTTAATATCAGAAATCGTAGCATGTGTAGAGTTCAAGCACTTTCAAGCAGAATCTGAGGAAAACCTTACGAGTTATTATTTCTTTTGTTTTAGTTGGTGAACACTGGAAAGGAAAGGGCAAAAGTCAGCCTTCTTTTTACATGGGCGGTGAGTTAGCATGTGATTCATTTCAATTACATTATATACAGAAGAGCAGATTGGAAGATATGTTTACCAGCTCTGTTTTGTGCAGAACTCAATGGGTGGGACTTCGCATATGTCAGGGGGTCATGTGAATGAGCCATTCATGTAAGGAGAAATATGTGACATTTGTCCATAATTGATTATGACTTCAAGTCGATGTGTAGTTTTTTTATTTGGCTCCCTTTTCCTTTCAGAGGCGAAGATGGGGTCTCCGGTGTCCTCTTACATCACAAGCAAGTCATTTTATCTTAATAGCTATAGCTTATGGTTGGTTTGCATGTATATGGTGGTAGATTCAGTGCTGGAAAAGTGTGACATTGCTATTCTTTCTTAATGGTTTAGTGGATGATGATTAGGAAGTGGCAGTACCTGAAGTGTTATTTGTTAAAAGCAGTGTTCCACTCATTTGAAGTATGCAAATAACTGATCTGATGAACGAAACAAAAGATACAATGCCTAGAGAAAACAACAAGCTGAGCTAGAATTTTCCCATTTTAGATTTTAGCATCAAAATGTTCCCTAGATATTTTCTCACCACATGCTCCACATGTGAAGGCCCAATCTGCTGCATTTTAGACTGTTAAAGTACCAGTTTTATCCTGCTGCATTATCTGCATTTTAGATTTACGTTGTTATTGCGTTTGAGTGTTTTGCATTGTTTGCTGGCTTATCTATTCACATGCTCCATTGATGAAGTTGATCTGGTAGAATATATTCTTGTTACAGTAGAAGGTTGTGCTCTTTTCTCTAAGAGAATAAATTTGTTTTGAACGTGTGATATTTTTGCAGGACAGGCAAGGGAAACCCTCCTGTTACATTTGCGATTTCTGCATGTGAGACCCAGAATGTGAATGTAACTGTTTTACCATGCTTTGGATTGTCTGAAGATAGTTGTGTTACAGCAAAGGATATGTGGGATAAAATGGATAAGGTGACTTTTTTTTGCATCATCATTCGCAGTCTTTGCATGTGAATTTTATACCTTGTCAAAACATGCTATTGACTATACACTTGATCTTTGTTCTGAATTGTCAGTCATATAAGAATCTTTGTTTCATATATCTGGTGTAATTGTTATAAATGAGACTGACATTCAGATATTCTATCTAAAAGGATGGGAAATTTGATCAAGAAAATTTCAATTGTGGGCCAAGCATACCTTCATCAGCTGGAGATACCATTTGTGCAGCAGTCTCAGCTTCAGCATGGGTAGAGGCTCATGGCAAGTGTACTGTATCTTTTGCACTTTCATGGTCATCACCAAAAGTGAAATTTTCCAAGGGAAGCACATATGACAGGTAAATAAAGTACAATATTTGTGGTCTCTTCCTAAAATTGAGAGATAAAGTTTTTACTTGTCGATTGTTATCACCAACTTATTTTCATACTATCAATGTCGTCATAATGGCTACTTCTCCTGTCCATTGCATGAGTTTTCTGTGTACCATGTAGTTAACATTTTCTCATTGATGCTTAATCATCTCTTTCAGTCATATGTCTTATTCATTTTTAATGTCCCAAAAGACTGAATCTGAGAGCTGGAAACACTGTTAAGCAAACTAACGATAAGTATAATGTCGGGTAATAGTTAATATATGTAAAAAGTGCACAAAGAAACGTAGGTTCCCACTCCAGCAAACTAAAAGTGAAGAGAACGGATGAATTTCCCCTTTTGGTTTAAGTTGGTTAACAAAGCTAAGCCTTGTGGTTGAATTGAGTGTATCGAGGACATATTTTGAGAAGATAAGATATTAACCAACATTTCAATGTGGTATGTTAATAAACACTGGTGATTGTCTGAGTTCTTTTTTTTTTTCCTTCTCTATCTTGTGTTTGCAGGAGATACACTAAATTTTATGGAACTTCGCCAAGAGCAGCTCTGGACCTTGTGCATGATGCACTAACAAGTATGTATCTGTTGTGTCAATATCTCATTGTCTTATGCTTCACTGGAGTTACCACTGTCCTGTTTGGATGTATACGTCATACTGCTGTCAATTGAAACTATTCCATGTTACACATACACAGAAGGGTAGTTATGTAAAAGTGACTAACATTGGGTTTTGAATTCAGATTATAAGAGGTGGGAGGAAGATATTGAGGCATGGCAGAATCCTATTCTCAGAGACGACAGGCTCCCTGAATGGTAATGCTTGGGAATCTTTCTTTGTTTACCCAAAGCATTGCAGATACAAATTTTTGTTGTTGCAACTTTTGCATTTCCTGAGCATCACAATGCATATTAGTGTACTGCATTCATGTATTCCATAATACATTTAACTTTTAATACTTTGCTCTCTTATATTTCTCCCTGAATTGTTTATGTTGTTTGCAGGTACAAGTTCACCCTGTTCAACGAGCTTTACTTTTTGGTAGCTGGTGGTACAGTCTGGATAGGTACACATCTATACGCTTCAAAGGCAAACTTTGAGTGTAAAACTGTGTCCTGTGAATTGAACAAAATTTTGTTCCTTCATTTGTTACCTTGAAAATATTGCATCATTTTCTCAAACATTTTCTCTTGCAGACTCTGCTTCACTCGATGCAAATGGAAATAGTCAGCTTCAGCAATCGGGTTTAGGAAATTCAGATGGTAACACAAGTGTACTTGACATGAAAGGCCAGGAGAATAACCATGGTAATTGCAACAGCAATGGAATTAAAAGCAATGGTGAAGCATCGACTATTCACAAAAGGAATGCTTTATTCGTAGACACTCGGCACGTAGGTGATAACGATGATGTTGGCCGGTTTCTGTACTTGGAAGGTGTAGAGTATGTGATGTGGTGCACATATGATGTGCACTTTTACGCATCATATGCACTCCTTATGTTATTTCCAAAGATTGAACTAAATATCCAGCGGGATTTTGCTAAAGCTGTGTTGTCTGAAGATGGGAGGAAGGTGAAATTCCTAGCGGAGGGAAATTGGGGAATTCGCAAGGTCAGAGGTGCTGTTCCTCACGATCTGGGGATGCATGATCCGTGGAATGAAATGAATGCTTACAACATACATGACACAAGCAAGTGGAAGGATCTTAACCCAAAGTTTGTGCTTCAGGTGTATAGAGATTTTGCAGCTACAGGGGATTACCAATTTGGAATAGACGTTTGGCCCGCAGTTCGTGCCGCTATGGAGTACATGGAACAGTTTGATAGAGACAATGACGATCTCATAGAAAATGATGGTTTCCCAGATCAAACATATGATACATGGACTGTTCACGGCGTTAGTGCCTACTGCGGTTGCCTGTGGCTGGCTGCTCTTCAAGCTGCAGCGGCAATGGCTCTCCAAATCGGTGACAAATTCTTTGCAGAATTGTGTAAGAATAAGTTTTTGAATGCAAAGGCAGCACTAGAAGCGAAACTGTGGAACGGATCATACTTCAATTATGACAGCGGGGCAAGCAGCAACAGCAAATCTATACAGACTGATCAGCTGGCGGGTCAATGGTATGCCGCATCTTCAGGTCTGCCTCCAATTTTCGAGGATTCCAAAATCAGAAGCACATTGCAAAAGATCTTTGATTTCAATGTGATGAAAACTAAAGGAGGCAAAATGGGTGCTGTCAATGGGATGCATCCTGATGGGAAAGTGGATGAGACATGCATGCAGTCGCGTGAGATATGGACAGGTGTTACTTATGCAGCTGCAGCTACTATGATCCTCTCTGGAATGGAAGAACAAGGATTCACTACTGCTGAGGGAATTTTCACGGCTGGCTGGTCCGAAGAAGGTTTCGGGTAAGTCAATGTGCATGCTAGGTCACACGCACATGAGTATATCAATGATGCGGCTAGGACAAAATATCACCATGAATTGCAAAAAGTGACTAAACTTTAGTTACACTGGGGCATAAAATATAAACAGATCCTTGAAAAAAGATAAATATTTTGTCAAAATGTTAGAAAATATCAAATGGCGTAGCAAAGTATGGTTTAGATGTTGATGGTATCCATCAAGTTGTAGAACAGTATAGACCGCAAATGAGTTTTGTGTTAAAGTGTATCTAAGTGATTACTCGAGCATGATGATTATGGTTTAGCCTTTTGGTTGGTCTTTCTTCTGATTTTGAAGCGGATGATTGCAGATATTGGTTCCAGACACCGGAAGGTTGGACAATGGATGGGCATTACCGGTCATTGATTTACATGAGACCACTCGCTATTTGGGGAATGCAGTGGGCATTAACGCTGCCAAAGGCAATTCTTGATGCTCCGAAGATCAACATGATGGACAGAGTTCACTTGTCCCCTAGAAGCCGCAGATTCTCTCACAACTTCAAAGTTGTCACACACAAAGCTAAGTGTTGTGGCAATTCTGAGTTGAGCTGTTCATGCTGAATCATTCTCCGTTTTTTTTTATAACATATATAAGCATAATATGATTATTGGAGGTAACCTGAAAAAAACAGGAAAGGTTATTATTTAAAGAGGAATTAGCCGACATGGAGAGGTTCTGAGTTTGTTAATTGTTATGTAATTTACAGGTATAAGAAAGATTTCCATGAAAAGATAAATGGAAACTTTCCTGTAACATGATGGTGAATTTTGGAGAAAGTTCACAAGTTTGCGACTTAACTCTTTTGTTTTTGTTTATGTG